TTGCTCGGTCTTGGCTGTGTTTCACCTGGGTGCACCAGCGAGCCCTGCCCTGCACGCCTCGTGGGGCGGAGGGCACCTGGCACCCACTTGGGCGTTTCCTCCCAGCTCCTGCATTGGGTCCCGGGCAAGCTGGCAGGTGTCTCAGGAGTCAGGGTGCGGCGGCTGCAAGCGCCCATTTCGTGGGATCACGACTCCTGATGGGCATCCGCGCGTGGAGTAGAGGTGTGCGGACCACAGGCAGGGGGACTGGGGCTCGGTGGCCGAGGGTGGAGTGGGGAGCCACTGATCACACCCGCCTTGTTGACACAGGCTCCGAGCCCCCTAACCTGGTGGTCGCAGAAAGGGCTCACCTTTGGGATAAAGGCTTTGAGGACATTCCCAAACCCACCGCCTCGCATGAGGCTCTGCCCTGCACAGTTTTCCCAGGCAGTCTAGGGCCCCTAGCAAGGTCTCCGCAGACCCTGAGAGGGGCCATTACTTTGAGAGAGTTGCTCTTGGCCTTTGGGAAGTCCAGGGGTTTATCCTGCCTGGTGATTTCACCTGTTGGGACCCGGCAACCCCCACTGTGGCCAGCTGGCCCAGCCCTGCTTCAGGCACTTCTGCAGCCCAGCAGGCCCTTGGCCACCTGCTGGGATGGGGAAGGGAAGGGTCTCGGAATTGCACCCTAGAAACTTGCTAGGGTGCAAGGATTTAAAAACCAGGTGGCCACCCAGGCAGAAGAGAAGTGGGGGCAGAGCACCTTGCTGCCGTTTCATGGTGGAATCAGTGGCTGTTCCCACCAAGAGGGCCCTTTCCAGGGGGACCCTGTGCAATGAGTGTGGTGTCTTGTAACTGAATAATTAGAACGTTTAAAAAATTTTAATTATGTGGTCCTTTCATTTAAATCAAAACTCCTAGAACCTCTTAAGTTTTTTGTAAATTGAGGTCTAAAAATTGAAGCCTATTTTCCTTCCACTGTGGCATTCTATGAAGAAATGTGCATTTTTTGAGAAGAGGCAGAAAAGGGAAGGAGGCAGAAAACCCAGAGGTGCCCCTGTAGCTTGGCAAGGGCCGTGGGAGGTCACTTGTAAATTTGCTGGCTGCCGGGAGGCAGTCTCTTCCTGTGGCTGATGGGCACAGAGCTCTGCTGGGTTGTCCTTTGCATGGATATTCTAGTTTGTGGAAATCCAGCGCAGAGCCTCCTCCTGATGTGTAAGAATTTTCCAGACTAGATCCCCGAGCAAATCCCACAGGGCCAAGGGTTCCTTCCTTCATTGTTATCTGTCTGTTTGACTGAAAACCAGCAATGACATATTTTTCTTTCCATCTTGTTTCTTTAGGTCTGATCTATCATCCAGGCCTTGGAGTACGCCTGGGTGATATTTCCTGTCCCCCTCAATAGGCTTGGGTTCCAGGAAAGAATTATAGTCAGATGTCCATGTTTTTACATGTGAGGAAACTGAGATCCAGAGAGGGTGGAGGACTGTCCAAGAGAGAAGGGCATATCCATCCAGGAACCCTGGCTCCTGGGTTTTTAATGAGCTTCCTACACGGCATGGTCATTAATCTGCAAGTGTTGACTTTGAGGATAAACTGTTGGTGAAAATGTAAAAGCCTTTTTTAAAGAATGTGCCCACCAACTATGCATCTTGTGGAGTATGTTCACCATATTTCCAACCTTGACAGAGTGCTGGGCACAGGGCAGATGCTTCATAGTTTTTATTGAATAAGTTCAGTTTCACATAATTCTATCTGTAGTGTCAGCAATACTATGAGGCATATTAGAACAGTGGTCTTCGCAGTTGGTACTTCACAGATCAGTAAAGAAAGAGGACTGTTTTTACTAGGAGGACTGTAACAGAATTGCTAGGTTTTAAGTTTATCCCACAAGGATATTAAAAAAAAAGAAAGAAACAAATCTCTCCCATCATCTCCAAGGCTATTGGAGGTCTGTTGAGGACCCAGCGCAAGGGAGGTTCTATCTCTTGGGACACCCCTGCTTCAGCATCTCCCTAAACCAGCTACCTGGGACAGCTGACTACACTTGAAGTTCCTTCCTTGACTTCGGGGGTTATTGTGGAAGACAATTTTTTGATGGACAGTGGTGGGGGGAAGGCTTCAGGATGATTCAAATGCAGTACATTTATTGTGAGCTCTATTTCTATTTCTGTGGTCTTCCCTGCTGGCTCAGTCAGTAGAGAGCCTGCCTGCAATGCGGGAGACCTGGGTTCAATCCCTGGCTTGGGAAGATCTCCTGGAGAAGGAAATGACAACCCACTCTGGTATCCTTGCCTGGAGAATTCCATGGACAGAGGAGCCTGGTGGGCTACAGTTCATAGGGTCACAAAGAATCAGACACAGCTGAGTGACTAACACTTATTTCTATTATTATTCTGTCAGCTCCACCTCAGATCATCAGGCATTAGATCCTAGAGGTTGGGGGCCCCTGCTTTAGTTCCCTCTTTCATCTTCGACACAGCTCCACTCTGCTTCCTCTCATCTTCCACTTTCAGAACTACCTGCTGGGCTTCCCAGAATGTGAGATGAGCCTCCTTCTCTCTTTTCCTTTCCTGATCCTGAGTCTCTTCTCTTAACTGGGTTTCCCTGATCTCCATCTACGCACTTTTGCCCCCAGGTAGCGATAGTGGTAAAGAACCTACCTACCAATGCAGGAGTTCCATCCCTGGGTTGGGAAGATTCCCTGAAGATGGGTATGGCAACCCACTCCAGTATTCTTGCCTGGAGAGTCCCATGGACAGAGGAGCCTGGTGGGCTACAGTCCCTAGCATGGCACACACACAGGATCTTTGGACTCGCCTCATGTGATTGTTTTGGTTCCTTGGCGTCCCTTGTAATTCGACATGTATGTTAGGGTCAGCTTATGTATTTCCTCCTAAAGGCCTTTTGTAATTCATGTTGAATCTTCAAGTCAGATTGAAGATGCATTACATAGTATTGCCATCTTAAGTCTTCCCATCACTATGGAATATCTTTATGTTTATGTTTATTTAGGATTTTTTTCAGCCATGGTGCATAATTTCCAGTGTGCCAGTCTTGGCATCCTCATTGCATCAATCCCAAAGTATTTTATTAATGCTGACATTATTGAAAGGGAATTATTTTAAATTTCCTTTTCAGGTTATTAATTTCCAGTGTATACAGACAAACAATGTAATCATTTATTTTTATCAGTTTGGACAACTTGATTGTTCATTTAAACTTTTGGTGATAATCCAGCACTACATTATTATGTTGCTCAGTTTATTCTTGCGTTGGCTATTGAGAGCTACTTCCATTGGCTCTTTTTTTTTATCTAACATTTCTCTCTGTGGGCTTTTTGCTTTGTCTTCCTTTACTTTCTCATGCCTTAAGATTATCCTGGCTCATATATCTACTGTCTCAATCCTAGTCTCCATCGTTTCTTTAACGAGCTTCTGCTCTGTGTTTTGACATTACATTATCTTTGGCTCTGCTGGGCCTTCCTGCGCACAGGGTTTCTCCAGCTGCGGTGAGCAGAAGCCGCCCTCTGGTTGCTGTTGCTGGGCTTCCCATTGCAGCGGCTTCTCTTGTTGCAGAGCTCGGGCTCTGGAGGGTGCAGGCTTCCATAGTTGTGGTATGTGGGCTTAGTTGCCCCGGGCAAGTGGAATCTTCTAGGACCAGAGATCGAACCCGTGTCCCTTGCATTGGTGGGCAGATTCTTTACCACTGAACCACCAGGGAAGTTTCCCATTCCCTTTATTAGAGAATGACATTAAAAACATACATGTTGGAGCTGAATATGCTCAGCTGACAATACGTGGAAATATATACATGTATTCCAGCTTAACTTTGAATACATTCAGCTAAAGGTAATTTATGATGATGTTTCCAACCTGATCCATTTGGACATGAATATTGTAACCTTTCCTTTTGTTTATCTGTATCTTCCCATTTTCACGGTAAGATACCTGGCTTCCACTACTTGTCATACATTGAATTCAGTACTTGGCCCATGTGATTACTGAAAAAAACAGACTGTCTTCCAAAGGTGGCTGTGCATGCATCCCACCAGGGTCTTGAGTATGTTTTTGTTTGATTGTTTACTGTCAGTGTCTCCTCGGTGGCCGGGTGTCTGTTTCAGTCTTCACCAATATTAATGGGTTTGTTTGCTCTATCGTTCTTGGACCATTTGAGTACAGATTCTTTATCAGATATGCATTTTAAAAAATTATATTTTTGACTGTGCTGGGTCTTCGCATGCGGACTTTTCTCTAGTTACAGCGAGCATGGGCCGTAACTAGTGGCATGAGGGCTTCTCACTGCAGCAGCTTCTCTTGTTGGGGGGCACAGGCTGCAGGGCTCTCGGGCTTCAGCAGTTGCAGCGCATGGGCTCAGTATCGTGGCTCCCGGGACCTAGAGCACAGGCTCCGCAGTTGTGCGGAACAGCCCGTGGGATCTTCCCAGACCAGGGACCAGCCCTGCATCTCCTGCACCGGCAGGTGGACACTTCACCGCTGAGGCACCAGGGAAGCCCTCGGCATGTTTTAGATTCTAGTTTTCCACACACGTGTGTGGTGAGAGAGGCCAGGATCGGGAAGCCTGGGCGCAGGGAGTCCTCGGCCACAGTTCTGCCTGTGCCATCGAGAGCTCTGGGGTATTGGGTGAGCACCCCAGCATTCCTGGGACTGCTTCCTCCCCTCGAAATGCCCCTCTGCTGGACTGTAGCCCACCAAGCTCCTCTGGCCATGGGATTTCTGAGGCAAGGATACTGGAGTGGGTGCCATTTCCTTCTCCCCTAGATGCCATATATATGCTTTAATGTTCGATATCTGTTTTCCCCTTTCTGACTTACTTCACTGCTGAAGAGGCTCTCATCCACTTCCTGAGAACTGACTCAAATGCGTTCCTTTCTATGGCTGCATTCCACAGAGTTTTTAATTGTTCCTTAGCCTTGCTTTGAGAAGCGTCTGGAGATACTCGGCTCCGTTTCCGTTTGGGTTTCCGGTCTTGGAGGGCACAGCAGAGCTGGTTCTGGACCAGACCTCTGGGGTCTGTGAGCGCGGTGCTGCCCGCTCCGCTCCGGTGGCCCACAGGGGGCGCCAAACCCCGCTCTGAGCCGCGGGCACGGGACGTTTCGCCTTCAGACTTGGCTGCGCGGGCAGCGGGCAGGAGCTCTGTCTCCTCAGGACCCTCAGGGCTCAGGCCTCTGGATAACGGGGCTGCGTCCAGGCTGAGAGGAGTGGGGTTGCCTCAGTGCCCACCAGCAAGGAGGCGCTGCAAGAGGGAAAAATGAGGACGAAGTAGACGAATCTCGTGTCCAGCTGAGCGCTGACCAGAGGTCCACCTCGGAGAACTTGAGGGGGAAAGAGCTCCATGTGCAAAATGGTGGGTTTTTAGTTAGATTTCTGAACGATATAGAAAACTAAGATCATGGCATCTGGTCCCATCACTTCATGGCAAACAGATGAGGAAACAGTGGAAACAGTGATAGTTTATTTTTCTGGGCTCCAAAATCACTGCAGGTGGTGACTGTAGCCATGAAATTAAAAGATGCTTGTTTTTTGGAAGAGAAGTTAGGACAAGCCTAGACAGCATATTAAAAAGCAGAGACATTACTTTGCCAACAAAGGTCTGTCTAGTCAAAGCTATGGTTTTTCCAGTGGTCATGTATGGATGTGAGAGTTGGACTATAAAGAAAGCTGAGCAGAGAAGAACTGATGCTTTTGAACTGTGGTGTTAGAGAAGACTCTTGAGGGTCCCTTGGACTGCAAGGAGATCCAACCAGTCCATCCTAAAGGAGATCAGTCCTGGGTGTTCATTGGAAGGACCGATGTTGAAGCTTAAACTCCAGTACTTTAGCCACCTGATGCGAAGAACTGACTCATTTGAAAAGACCCTGATGCTGGGAAAGATTGAAGGTAGGAGGAGAAGGGGACAACAGAGGATGAGATGGCTGGATGGCATCACTGACTCAATGGACATGAGTTTGGATAAACTCAAGGAGCTGGTGATGGACAGGGAGGCCTGGTGTGCTGCGATTCATGGGGTCGCAAAGAGTCGGACACGACTGAGCGACTGAACTGAACTAACTGACTGATGATATAGAGGTTGACCAGTGATGTTCCTTAGTGTAGGGTGGCTATTCTTTCTTGAGAAGACTGTCCTTTCTTCTTTGCATGTCTTTGGCTTTATTTTCATGAACTAACTGGCCACACACATGTGGGTTTTTTCCTGGACCCTCTATTCTGTTCCTCTAGTCCGTGTGCCTGTGTTTGCGCCCGTTCCTTACCATTATGGTTACTGCAGCTCCAGGATGTAGTTTGAAGTCAGAGAGGAAGATGCCTCCAAGTGTGTTCTTCTTTCTCAGAGTCTTTTTGGCTGTTCAAGGTCCTTAGTTGTTGCAGGCTAATATTAGGAATATTTCTATTCTATGAAAAATGCCATTGGATATTATTTTGTGATTGCAGTCAGTGCATTTGCTAATAGCTTTTGTTGGAATGGACATTCTAATTACTCACTGTTCCAGTGCTTGAGCATGGAGTATGTTTCTCTTTGTTTGTGTTTTCTTCAGTTTCTTAATCAGTGCTTTCTATTTTTCTGACTACTGGTCTTTTATGTCCTTGGTTAAGTTTGTTGCTCAATGTTTTATTCTTCTTGATGCAATTTTAAATGAGATTTTCTTAGTTTTTGTTTTGATTATTATTAATGTATGCAAACACCACTGATTTTTGTATATTGATTTCCAATAATTCAACTTTACTGAATGTATTCTAAGAACTTTTTGAGAAGTTATGTGAAAATTTTATTTGTAAAATCTGTTTCTCCTGCAGTGGGTCCTGCAGAGGACCCGACATGATGGCTCCTAACAGATCCTTCCCACAGTGCTTCTTGACAGTGGACTCCTGCAAGGGCAATGGGCACCACAGCTTCCCTTGAACTTGGTCTAGGTGAGCCTTGGCCTCTATAGGAACGTTTCATGCTTGTCTTTTCTGAGTTCCTTCTGTGTATTGACATTGTTGTTTTGATAGATAATTTACTTTCCAGTAATTTAAAATGCACAGAAAACTCCTAACAATGGTAAAAAGTCCTCACGTTTACCACATCATCTAAAATACCCCATGTGTTTTATCCAAAATGGATGGCATTCTCCTGCGGAACCAGCACATAACCACCGAAATCAGGAAATTACATAGTTTCCGCATTATAATATAATTCACAGGCCCACTTCCACTTTCAGCAATTGTCCAAGTGTACGAATGTATCTTTTTTCCCAGGTTCATCTAGTTTCTGTTTGGAGTGTCACTGAGATTTTGGGTCATTTGGACAACCTTGTGAATTTAAAGCAGACAAGGTGAATATGTGATCTGGGTGGCATTTTCTGTATGGATTTTTTTCACTAAAGATGTTTGTAGTGTGTATTCATGTTGTAACATGTATCAATAGAACATTCTTTGTTTTCCATTCTGTTTCCATTTCCGTTCCCAGAATCAGGGTGTTTTTTCTAATGAGTCAGCTCTCCGCATCAGGTGGCCAAAGTATTGGAGTTTCAGCTTCAGCATCACTCCGTCCAATGAATATTCAGGATTGATTTCCTTTAGGATTGACTGGTTTGACCTCCTTGCTGTCCAAGGGACTCTCTAGAGTCTTCTCCAACACCACAGTTCAAAACCATCAATTTTTGGGTGTTCAGCTTTGTTTATGGTCCAACTCTCACATCCACACATGACTACTGGAAAAACCATAGCTTTGACTAGATGGACCTTTGTTGGCAAAGTAATGTCTCTGCTTTTTAATATGCTGTCTAGGTTGGTCACAGCTTTTTTTCCAAGGAGCAAGTGTCTTTTAATTTCATGGCTGCAGTCACCATCTGCAGTGATTTTGGATCCCAAGAAAATAAAGTCTGACACTGTTTCCATTGTTTTCCCATTTATTTGCCATGAAGTGATGGGACTGTATGCCATGATCTTAGTTTTTTTTTAATCTTGAGTTTTAAGCCAAATTTTTCACTCTCTTCTTTCACTTTCATCAAGAAGCTCTTTAGTTCCTCTTCACTTTCTGCCATAAGGGTGGTGTCATCTGCATATCTGAGGTTATTGATATTTCTCCCAGCAATCTTGACTCCAGCTTCGAAGAGGACGGGATGAGGCAGAGTTTATCCACTGGTGAGCACTTCTGCAAGATAGAGGACTTCATATCTGACAAGGGTCCTGCAAGGTGATCTTACCACTAGGCTGACTCCCAGAAACAGGAAACCATAGATCACACTAAGCAAAGTGTAAAGTCCAGCAGGTACCAAAGATGGAAGAAGGAACCAAAAAGCACAAAGCCAGGCGACGGAATATTATTCCGCCATTAAAAAAGCACAGTCCTCCTCAGAGAGACAGCTGCATCCTCATGTCTGTTGTAGCACTATCCACAGCAGCCAAGACGAGGAACCAGCCACAGCGCCCACCAGTGGGTGAAAGGAGGAAGCAGCTGTGGCGTGAACAGTGAAGTATTATCCAGCCACGAGAAAGAATATCCTGCCATTTGCAACAATGTGGATAGACCTGGAGCACACGATGCTAAGAGAAATAAGTCAGACAGAGAAAGACAAGTACTGTATGGTATCACTTACATGTGAAGTTTTATTTCATTTCAGTTTTTATTTTTTGCTGCCCTGGGTCTTCATTGCACATGCTGGCTTTCTCTAGTTGCAACACGAGGGCTTAGTTGCCCCACAGCATGTGGGATCTTAGTTCCGCACCCAAAGGATTGAACCCACATCCTCTGCAGTGGAAGGCAGATTCTTAACCACTGGACCACCAGGAAGTCCCACAGGGGGAATTTTAAAAGTCAAACTCATGCAAACAGAGTGAAATGATAGTTACCGGAGGCCAGGGAGATAAGATAGATACTGCTTAAGGGCACATACAAACATATAATGAGTAGTAAATAATCCACAGAGATCTAACACACAGTATAATGAATATAGACAACAAGACTACACTCTAATCAAACTTGCTAAGAGACTAGAACTTTACAAAGAAAGGTTACTGTGTAATGTGATGGAGGTGGCTCAGGTGCCATGCTAAACTAGGTCTCTGAGGGCATTGGGGGTAGTGATCACTTTCTCCAAACAACAGGGGTCCAGAGATGCCACTCAGCCCTCAGAAGCCAGGAAGATGCAATTGTGGGCGGCCAGGCCCAAGGGTCCAAGGTTCCATCCAGGGGTGGATTGACATGGTGTTTCTAGGGATAGTACATAGTCTGTACATAAAATATCAAGCTAGGTGACAAGGAGGCTGAGGTTAAGAGACACAGTAAAAAACTTGTTTCCAACTAATAAAAATAAATGAAAAGAAAAAAAAAAGAAAACAACAACAACAACAAAAAGAGACACAGTAAAAAACTCTGCTGCTGCCCAACCTCCAAAGTGAAGCCAGTTTTCAAACTGAAACTCAATGACCTCCAGGAAGAAGGACCTGGCAACACTGTGACAATTATAGATGATGATCCCCTCCTCCTTCAGCTTGAGGAACCTGTAGTCACTCACACAGGTAATGGACCTTCAAAAAAGAAATGCCCAATCATCACAGGCAACTCGACCCAAAGTCCTAGATGACACTGTTACCTATGGGCTCCTCATGGCCCCCTCCTGGAATGTGCACCCGTGGGAGGCAGGTGACAATTGGAGTCCTGCCCACATGGGCCCACTGGAGCCACAGCCCACCTGGTGGTCATCTCCCTGCTCCCTTTTCCCAGAGTGTAACTGGGATGTTCACACTTGAGGATGGCTCAACTCCATCACCAGAGCCGAACTCCAAGAAAGTTAAAACAGATGACAGCACCCTACCCCCACACCTCAGTAGGTCTGGAGTGGGTTCTGAGACCTTGCATTTCTAACAAGCTTTGAGGCTTCCCTGGTAGCTCAGTTGGTAAAGAATCTGCCTGCAATGCAGGAGACCCCAGTTCAATTCCTGGGGTGGGAAGATGCACTGGAGAAGGAATAGGCTACCCACTCCAGTATTCTTGGGCTTCCCACGTGGCTCAGCTGGTAAAGAATCCACCTGCAATGCGGGAGGCCTGGGTTTGACCCCTGAGTTGGGAAGATCCCCTGGAGAAGGGAAAGGCTACACACTCCGGTATTCTGGCCTGGAGAATTCCACGGACTGTATAGTCTATGGGGTCGCAGAGTCAGACAGGAATGAGTGACTTTCACTTTCACTTTTCACCTCGGGACTTGAGAGCAGAAAAGGACCAGCAGGCCTTGGCTGTGATTCAGGCAAATCTGCCTCTTGGGCCCATCCTGCAGATCCTATAGTGTGGGGTATCAGTGGTGGGGAAATAGTGCCACTTGGAGTTCATGGCAAACCCCAGTGGGCACGTCATAATGCAGACTCTATGGGCCTGGCCACAGCGTCTGTGCTGCAGACTCACACTCCCTTTGAAAAGCACCCCTGGCATACGGGTCCTGGTGATAGCTGTAGGGTACCACGTGACCATGCAGCACATGCGGAATCCGGGAGCAGGGTCCTGTGAGACCCAGCAGGTCATCAGGTCAGGTGGGCCACGTAGCTGTCCCCTATGAGACAGAAGTCACATAGCTGGGTGAGTGGTACGGCTGGAGCGTCAGCAAGCAGGACCAGAGGGAACAAGGAGCTGCTGGAAGAGACCCCGTCATCTCTCGGCTCACACTTCTGGCTGCATGGCAGTGGCCATTAAAGACAGTGAGGGGGGAAATGCCCCCATGGGAAGATCTTCAGATGGTGCCCCTGGTCACCCACTGTATGCTGAGTGGCCCAAAGTTAAAACACATACAGCCTCATATGCAGTGAGTGGCAATGTCCTCCCTATTAACTGGGAAAAAGTCCATCCCACCAGCAAAGGGCGGCCAGGAGGCAGGAGGTCTGGGTAGAGGCAGGTGTTTGGATCCACGCAGGTGTAGGTATGCTTTTCTGGTGTTTGTTACCCACCAGCCAGGCCAGGCCGACTAACCAGCCTGGGGGCTGCTGATGGCTGGTTGCTGTCATTGGCCCCCAACAGCGCGGGAGAGATCAGCCACGGAGGAGGGAGTGATGCTGTGTGTGGACCTGTGTGGCCTGGGCTCCCGGTCACCCAGGCTGGTCTAGTGACCACCCCTGCTGAGTGCTGGTGCTGTCAGCAGCAGAGCAGAGCTGAGTCCCCAGCACGGCGCCACTCCAAGAAGACCACCCCGTCCCTTAGGAGATAGCTGACTACATCGGACCCCCTTCTCCTCTTGAAAAGGGCAACCAGTTGTTCTGGCACGAAGAGGTGTGTTTTCCAGATGGAATTTCACCCCCAGGAGCTCAGCCAGCATCACCTATATAGGACCCCGGGTAACACCACCTCCAACCCAGGGACCCAGCTTATGGCACAGACGGAGCAGGAGGGACACGCGGCCAGGGACCACTGGGGCATCAGAGGCCACGGCTGCAGGGAGCTGCCAGGTGCACGAAGTGAGAGCATGGCCACAGCTCAAGTGCCAGCTCAGAGATGACAGCCTGCGAAACCACACACCTTCCTCCAGGAAGCCGTCTGTACTTAACAGCAGTGATGTCTGCGTGGGGCTCTGTCACTTGCAAGTAGAACACAGGCTGAGGACCAGAGAGGGGAAGGTGACCCACCTTGTCCAAGAGACCCGTGGAGATCGGTGCTTCCAGGCCCTGCAAGCTTGGGGAAAAGTGTACAAAGACTCTGTCTTTCTGTGTGGAAATCTATCATTAAATTACTAAGATTTTCTATTGAGTTCTAGGTACAGGCAGAGCTCAGAAATACTTGGTTCAGACAACTGTGATAAAGCAAATACTACAATAAATCAAGCCACACACATGGTTTTGGTTTCCCAGTGCATATAAGTGTTCCCTTTATACTTCTATATGTGTGCAATAGCATTGTTCTAAAAAAAAAAGTACATAACTTAATTTAAAAATACTTTCTTGCTAAAAACTGCCAATCATTACCTGACAATACACTTTCCACAAACCTTCAGTTTGCAAAGAAACAGTATCTTTGAAGTGCAATCAAACAAAGCACAATAAAACAATGCATGCCTGTAAATTATACACCAAAGACAAAAGCTAAAATAGTGTGTGTGTGTGTCCTGGGAGAGTGTTCTGAATGGAATTGTGTCTCTCACAAAAGGTCCTACATTGAAGCCCCACCCCCACTGTGACTGTATCTAGAGATACGGCCTAATTAGGGTTACGTGAAGTCATGAGGGGGAGCCCTAATCTGAGAGGACTGGCATCCTTACAAAAAGAGAGCCCAACACAGTCTCACGGCCTTCCCTAAGCCTGCCACCTCCCCAGCTCATCCAAGGCCATTAGGATCCAGTCTCCAGAACTGTAAGAATGTGAATTTGCTGTTTAAATATTCAGTCTGCGGTATTTTGTGGTGGTAGCTTGAGCTGGTAAGTACAGAATGTACTTATACAAGAATGTTCACTGTCACACTGATTATAATAGCCAGAAACTGGGTGGTGGGGGGGAGGAGGGAACTCATCAGGATTAGAATGGATGAATGACATGGTATAGTTATACAGAGAAACACTACATAATGAGGAAAATGAATGAATCGCAAGCCCAGGCAACATAATGGGTAAATCTCACAAAGCATGCTGAATACAAAAAACTGTGTTAGTCACTCAGTCGTGTCCAACTCTTTGCAATCCCACAGATTGTAACCCGCCAGGCTCCTCTGTCCATGGAATTCTCTAGGCAAGAATACTGGAGTGGGTAGCCTTTCCCTTCTCCAGGGGATCTTCCCTGACCCAGAGATTGAACCCAGGTCTCCCACATAGCGGGCAGATTCGTTACCATGTGAGTCATCGGGGAAGCCCAAGAATGAACGCGAATACAAAAAGCTGGGCTTGAAATCATACAACATGTACTTTTCTACTTTTTCATAAAGGAAAAGTTACATACAATGTTTAGGAATGACAGCTGAGATGATAAAATTACAAATAAAAACAAGGAAGTGATTATCCTGATTTTGTTAAGAAGGGGAGTGCCTGGGAAGGGCACAAGGGGGAGCTTGTGGACAATGGTCTATTTTTTTAAACCTTGGATAATCACATGGATAATCACATTGTCATAATTCACTGACCTCTACATTCATGCTTTGTGCACTTTTCTACTTGTGTATTATATTCATAATAAAAAAAAATACTGTGATATTTCTGGGAATGGCCAAGTATTAAAAAACAAAAAAACCCAACAACAAACACTTTGTTAGGAAGGAATTCATCCTACAAATGTCTTCTCACATACACTGTTTATTGTAGCAAAAGATTAAAAGTTAACATCAACTAAGGCTAGTCATACAACATCTATAAGCTGAATATTATTTAGCATTTTTAAATGGCTTATTTGTATATGTCCAGATATGGAAATCTCCAAAATTAACAGATTGATATGTGAAACGTGTTGTCACATATTAAAATATATATGCATAAATAAAATAGACATTTATAAACACATTTCTTTGGAATTCTTAGCATCTTGTGGTGCCTAAAAGTAAGGACATGTACACAATTTTTAAAAGTATGTATACATATTGAAGGGCTTCCCAGGTGGCACTAGTGGTAAAGAACCCACTTGCCAATGCAGGAGACATAAGAGAAGAGGAATGTCTTCCAGATATAATCTTGCCCCGAGGACAAAATACCTTAGCAAGAAAGTATTTTAAAATTAAGGTATGCAGATTTTTTTTTAGACAGTGCTATTGCACACGTTTAGAGGCATGTGGGGAAGATCCCTGGGTGGGGAAGATCCCCTGGAGGAGGGCATGGCAACCAAGTCCAGTATTCTTGCCTGGAGAACCCCATGGATAGAGGAGCATGGTGACCTACAGTCCATTGGGTTGCAAAGAGTTGGACACAACTGAAGTGACTTAACACACATGAATACACATTGAAAGGACACACCACAGAAACCATTCTGGAACAGCTCTCTCTCTTCCAAAATACTTAGTAGTTACAAGGGGGAAAACAGTGAGCTTACAGTGGAGAATCCAGGCAAATGACTTCTCAGCCAAGTGATCAGGGTTACCTTCACGAACAGCAGCTCACGCAACATCCTGCATCCCCAGATATAATGTCATAAGGACACGTGATCACATCTCTGCAGCCTCTTTCCCAGTGCTACATTGGCATCTAATCATGAAAAAGCATCAGATAAGTCCCAACAGAAGGACATGCTCCAAAATGATTGACTGAAGTCAAGGTCACAGAAGAGAAGAAAAGACTAGAGAATCATCAGAGATGGGAAGAAACAAAGGGGACATGACGACTAAATATGGTGAGATCCTGACTGGATCCTTGAACAGAAAAATGACACCACTGGAAAAACCATTACAATCCAGAAAACTTTTTAGTTTTGAAATATGCCCTATGGATACATACAATGGTAACATAAGTGGAAGTGAGGTGAAAATATATTGGCACACTACTATTTTCACAGTATTTTCATAAGTCTGAAATTAGTTCAAAATAAAAAAATAAAGGTATAGAACAATGTATGAAATATCCTGCCACACATGGAGCTACATCCATATATGTGTGTATAAAATATGCATATAGACAGAGATAAAATCTGAGTAGAGGCTGGGTGACTGAGGGTCAGGACGGGCAGGGAGGCTCACCTTTCACCACATACACTTTTGATCTTCTGATTTTTCAACCCTAGGCATGTGTTATATATTCCCAAAACTAAAGTTTTAAGTAAAATCTATGAATAGTTGAAGACATAATGAGTGTCTTGCTAAACTTCACTACAAAAAGGCACTCAGCCTAACGACTGGGGGAGGTTTCACAGAACTAGACTGTAAATGGAGCTCCAGCTTCCTTCCAAAACCCATTCAACAGCAACATCTATAGTCTGTGATGGTTTTATTTCTCCGTTGAGGTCTTAAAAGTGACTGTAACCAAAGAAAGCATGGATGTATTTCCTGGTAATATTATTGCAACTCTCAGAATATATAGAGCAAATTGCATCCCACTCAGGTGTTAAAATAAGTATAGAAATAATGAAGAAACTCATTTTAAAGTCAGGATATTATCATGTCTCTAACTAGTTTTTAATGAAACTGTTATATTTTGTCCTCACTATAATGATAAAGGGGCAAGTGACACTGGACACCACTCCCAACTCTGATGCTCATGGCCTGTGTGACCATGAACGGGTTGCTTATTTCCCTGTGCCTGAGTTTCAAGGGAATAATCCAAAGACCTATCTTATGTCATTGTTTTGAGTATTGACAATATCACACATCTAAATCAGAACAGGACCTGACCCTTCAGCCTTCAGATTTTAAAAATCTGTATTTTAAATGTTCTAGCTACTTTTAGATGTTTTTGACATTTAAGAGAATCTAATATATTAAATTTTGATTTAATCAAATGTTGCAAGTTACATTTATAAAAGCATAAATTTGGGTTTATTAGTTATGAAGGTAGTAACAAGAATATAGTGTTTTTATTACATTACTATTAATACTGATTAATAATCATATCAAAGAAGGTACAAGTAGGAGTGAGTATTCTGTCTCTTCAGGTAGAGGGAATCTCTCCAGGGAGCATCCTGAGGCCTCCTACTCCATAGGCTCCTCCCCCCAGAAGCTGGTCCCCAACCATCCCCACCCCCACCCTCTAAGCCCCCACCCCCACCCTGCACAACACACCCCTGGGCTCCGGGCTGCAACCCTCTGCCTTTCACAAGGGCCTCCATGCTCCCACCTGCCTCTAGGTTGGGAGCCTCTCCCTCCCCAGCATCATTCCCATCCCACCATCCAGCCTCTTCCTACAACAGGTAATAAACTCACCCTTGACCCAATGCCCTCTCCATGGCCAAATATTTCTGTGTTCCGCACCTCAACAAAATTTGGCCAGGTTTAACCGTCCAGGAACCTCGGTTCAGCTGACCAATCTATAAGACAGACTCCAGATACATTTCAGTTCACTCCAAACTGGCTTCTTAGAGCTCACAGCTGCAACAGAGCTGTTCCTGAAGAAGCTGGCAGAGAGCTGGGGGCACACAAACCAAGGAGCAACTGTTCTTACCTGCGTGGGTTGCTCAGCAGCACCCCCACAAGAGGCACCTCCCTCCTTGGAGCTCGCCACTCTTCCTGGTAGGGACCCAGGCAGGATAAGAGAGCTTCATCCAGAGTGGGAGAGGGGAGGGGGGCGGGGACTCCCAGATATTGTTTTCTTTTCTCCATCATAACCTGGAAAGAACACTGACACGAAGGAAACCAACAAGATCATTTATTATAAAACCATGGAAAATTTCCTTAAAAGGTGGAGCTTGCAATCACTCGAAAGGGACAGAATTAAGAATAGGTGCCCCATCCCTACCCTCAACTTTCACTTTCACGTGCTAACAGAAGTGGATGGAAACTTAGCCTCAGACCTCCGGGTCAGTATTCCGTCAGCATTCGAGCAAGCCTCACTTTCCCCGTCTTGCAGCCATCTGGATTAGGGGTCCTGGACCCGCCCCGCCTTAACCCGAATGCCTCCAGGCCCGCGCAGAATTTAGCAGCTGTCTGGTCCAAGCTCTGGCTGAAAAGAAGTGGCTGGTCAAATGCAAGCTTTGTGAGGTCCATCAGAAACACCTGGAGGGCTTGTGAAACCCCAGATCGCCTGGTACCCCTCTCAGGGATTCCGGTTCTCTGGGTCTGGGTGGGGGACAGAGTTTGCATTTCTGTCTGGGCTACAGAACTTGCGTTTTAACAAGTTCCCGGTTGACGCCGATTCTGCTGATCCAGCTGTCCTCGGATATCTAAGCGCTAGGGCAGATCTACCAGGGAAATTTGGCGGGAGACGTCCCCTCAAGATGCTGCCCGAGGCTCTCCACCTGGAGTCGCAGACGCGCTAGGTTTTCACCTGACGGTCTAGCCGCAGGCCCGTTCGCTCTCCCTACTCAGGAGCTGGGACCCACACCAAGGGGCTTTCGACTGAGCGGCTGTTTTCAGAACTCTCCCAGGACCTCAGACTAAGAAACCGGAGGCAGGTCCACCTTCCCAGACCGCTGGGGGTAGGAAGCATTCCCGGCCAGGGCTCCTGAAACGCCTCACCTCGATTTCGGCGGATCCGAAGCTAGAAAGACATTGCCACGATGAGGAACTTGGTCATATACTGGTAAAGGGGCGATCCGATGATGAAGACCAGGACTCCGCATCCTGGGACTGCGCTGACCACGAGGGAGACCCTGAACCACCCGTAGAAGGCCGCCAGCCTCTCCCCATCCTGGCCTGGGAAGTGAGGTTCCAGTCACGAAGGAAACGGGGTCCTCTGTCAGAGTCCTCTGTCAGAGTCCGTCCAGACCGGCCCCTGGACGGTCTAAGGAAACCTCAGGGGCACTGGACCAAGGACCTAACCCCCCCACACCCCAGGAGTAACGGGGGCGCACGGGATGAGATGCAGCCTGCAGGACTTCAGAGGTTGCGAGCGCCGGGGTCACTCACCAAACAACGCGGGTAACATCCACAGCTCGACATAAAGAACCTCTTGGATGTGATCGGCGCCTCTAATCCCTCTCAGCCTTTGGGCGCTGCGAAGCGCCAGGCGCCGGAGGGACTCAGGGAGAAACATGGGCCAGGGCGGTCCCCGAGGGAGCGCGGCCTCTTAGGCTGCCCCACCTCGCCCCTTCCGTGTGCCCGGACACGCGTTCCAGGCCTCCAGCGCCCAGCATCCTGCCTCCCGCATGCAGCATCCATCCTCCGGCGCCGCTCCATGTGGTCTGCCCCGCGAAGCAGAAGCTCCGGCACAGGGATGCTCGAGGTTTAAGGGCTCAGGGCTCCTCTGCGGTCTAAGGGCCCCCCAAAACACCCCTAGGCCCTCCAGGCTCAAGTGTGCCACCCCAAGCCTGCCACGGGGTGGCGGGTGGGGTGGGCGAGCCGGGACTCCGTCCAGGGTCGGGTTCTCTGGGTGACAGGCAGAGGGAATCTGGAAATCAGGCCATGGGATGCAGGGAGCAACTGAAGAATGGAACCCACGCCAGCTGGGTCCTCAAAGCCGCCACGCCTTCTGACCTTCCTATCAGGCCCAGGTCTCCTTCTCCTTTGGGGGAGATCTGCAGCCCGGGGCGGAGCCTGGGGTTCCAGCTGGCAGCGGGAAGACCTGCATTCCTGGGCCTGAAACAGTGTCCAGAGAGACAGAAACCCGTGGGCTGTGAAGGAGATTGGCTGGACATCTTGGGTCTTCCTCCCAAACATCACCCTGGTCTAACCTAATCACACAGCTTACAAGAGGGGCATCTGACAGCACACCTAGCCAGTGTTCCTCAAAACTGCCAAGGTCACCCCAGTGTTCCTCAAAACTGCCAAAGTCATCAAAACAAATGAAAGTCGGGAAACGTCACAGTCAAGAGGAGCCTAAGGAGACGATGACAGTTAAAGATAATGTATATGTATCCTAGATGGAGTCTTAGGATAGAAAAGCGATAGCTGGTAAAAATGAGGAAATCTCAATGAACTGTGGACTATTTAACTATTTAATTTTAGAAAGCATATTAAACAGCAGAGACAAAGGTCTGTCTAGTCAAAGCTATGGCTTTTTAAAGTAGTTGTGTATGGATGTGAGAGTTGGACCATACAGAAAGCTAAGCACCAAAGAATTGATGCTTTTGAAAACTGTGGTGTTGGAGAAGACTCCTGAGAGTCCCTTGGACTGCAAGGAGAGCAAACCAGTCCATCCTAAAGGAGATCAGTCCTGAATATTCATTGGAAGGACCGATGTTGAAGCTGAAGCTCCAGTACTTTGGACACCTGATGAGAAGAACTGACTCATTGGAAAAGACCCTGATGCTGGGAAAGATTGAAGGCAGGAGGAAAAGGGGACGAGAGAGAATGAGATGGTTGGATGGCATCACTGACGTGATGTCCATCACTGATGGACATGAATTTATTTGAGCAAGCTCCAGGAGTTGGTGGTGGACAGGGAAGCCTGGCATGCTGCAGTCCTTGGGATCCTGAAGAGTCAGACCCAAATGAGTGACTGAACTGAACTGAAAGATGGGGGTGGGGTGGGGAAAATGCATGAAAGTAGTTAAAAGGTACAAACTTTCAGTTATACAATAAGTCCTGGAGATGCAATGTACACCATGGTGACTATAGTTAATAATGTGCATGCATGCTCACTTGCTCAGTCATGTCCAACTGTTTGCAACCCCGTGGACTGCAATCCACCATGCTCCTCTGTTAATGAAATTTTCCAGGCAAGAATACTGGAGTGGGTTGCCATTTCCTACTCCAGGGGATCTTCCCAACCCAGGAAATGAACCCATGTCTCCTGTGTCTCCTATATTGGCAGGTGGATTCTGTACCAGAGCCCCTGAGAAGTCCTATATTTAATAATAATGTACTCCACATTTGAAGATTGCTAAAGAGGTGATCTCAAAACTTGAGAAATTTTTGTAACTATGTGTGGTGATGGGTGTTTCCTAGACTTCTTGTGGTCATTACACAACATATACAAATATCAAATCATTGTATCATACACCTGAAATTCATGTAAATGTCAATTATATGTCAATTGAAAAGACATTAGAAAATGATATCACAAAGTTATTAAATGTATGACAGACTTGAAGAAGATACTTGAATGCCAAAAAACCCACAAAGTATTGATATTCTTCCAAATAAACAAAAACCCGACAGAGATCCCAACAGAAAAATGGACAAAGAACATGACTTGGCAATTCACAGAGAAGGAAAATAAGTTACTTACAAGTATATGAGATGACCTACCTAACTACTGAGAAACATATATTAAAACAACAAGATACAGAAAAACAAAGTCAGAAGACTGACACTCCCTTACTTAAAGACCGCTGTAAAGCTATAGTAATCAAGACAGCATGGTATCTGAAAAGAACGGACAAATAGGTCAATGAACAGAGTCAAGAAATAGACTCACCTGACTTTTGACAAATGGAGCAAAGGCAACCCAAGGTAGAAAAGATAATCCTTTCAAATAACAAAAAAAATGAGCAAGTGAGGGAACCTAGACAGACCTTAATACCCTTCACAAAAAATTAACTCAGAATGGATCAAAATGCTAAATGTAAAATGTAAAACTGTAAGGCTCCTAGAAGATAACAAAGATGGAAGTTATTTTGTCAAAAATATCAAAAGGGTTTAGAACAGGTGCCGGGCATTCAACTCACAGCTTCAAGCAGGTGTATGGAGGACACCATTATCACACCAGCTGTGCCAACTTCTGGATTAACTTTGTTAAACCAAAACCTCCTGGCCTCACCCTTTCTGCTTTGCTCTGAAATTTCCCCAAAGCTCCTCTGTGCAGTACCAGTTGGGTTTGTTTTTCCCTCCATCAAACCTCTTGGGGTGTCAGGGACCAATAAACAGAAGGCAAGTGCTGGAGAATTCCCTCCACCCTCCTACCCCCGCCCCCAATCAATCTATGGAAAGAAATCCTCAAGAGGTAGGTGGGAAGCACTGAGGAAATTCCCAGTCATCCCACAGATGACTTCTGCCCCCAAGTTCCCACAGTCACTCTTTGGGATTTGAGGTCAAAACCACCCTACCCAAACTGCGTGTAGCACTGGAAGTTTGCTAACTCATCTCTAGTTTTCTTAAGATGTTTTAAAATATGGACCACAATTTTAAGGAATAATTTGCTGCTGCAGTATTGAAAACTGTGAAAAATTGACATTTGAAGAAAAATAAGTTATTGCTATAGGACTGAGGGGAAAAAAAAGTAAAGAAACTTAAAATCTGTTATCAAAATAGTTCAACATTTTAAGAAAAGTTGTCCTCTTAGAAGAGTCAACTTCAAGTTTTGCACCAGCTTATTTTTAAAATTCATTTACTCAATTTATTTTAAACTTAGTCCTGACCACACACAAAACACTTTTCTCAGGGTCCACTTCCCACAAATCTTCCGCTGCTTAACTTATGTTAGCACAAATCTAACTTTCAAGTCTTTGAATATCTGGAGAGATTATTTTTAAGTAAACTTTCCTAAAATATAATTATTCCTAAAGAATTCACCCAAAGCTCTTTCCTCATTTGCATTTTCTTTCCTTAAAAGTTTCTCCACACTGAATTATTTCCTTGCTGACAAATTTGTAACAGATATAACAAGGTTTTATTTAGCTTATATAAACCTAGGCACAATAAAAGTCTTATACTTAGTGTGTGTGACTCTAAAGACAGTCTATATTAATTAGACCAAAAAACTTAAACATGAATACTAGGTATTAATACTGAATATTTTCCAGTCCACATGAACTCGAAATTCATTTCGCTTAATATCTTTTGTATTTAGAATCGTTTGATTTGTAAGCATTTACTTTTCTTAAGCCAATTAAATAGAGCTCATTTACAAATTAACCTCAGCAAGATTATCCAAAGATAAAAGACACATACTGAAACATACATATATTCAGATAGACACAACAACAAATCTCATAGCTTCATTTTCTTAGTCATGATTCAGCTATCACAATATAAAATTCACTAGTCGTAAGTAACAATAGGAATAAGTTAAATTTTAAAATATTTTTTTCCACCACTTCCCTCGCCTCCAGTCTCAGGAATTAGAGATGATCTAGATAACATAGATGATCCTAAGACCTCTGGTCTCAAGGCACAGGTAGAGAAAATCAGGTTCTCCTAATAGGACTTATCCCTCAAGTATCGGAATTAGTTTTTCCTCCAAGCTAGCTTTCTCTACTGGTTGGGAATTAAACAGGGTTCAGTTAACCTTCAGTTGGCATTGTGTACTTAACTGGTGCAACTGAAGGTTTATAATTTTCATAGATCCACCCTTTTCCTTTATTTTAATGGTTTTGAAAAGTTGGTCAGCCAGTGTAACAAGGGCATCTATGTGTAACTTGGACCAACCTAGACTGTATCTTTTGACTAGAGTAGTCAAATCTTCATCTATGCCTTCTAAAAAGGCAGGGTTATGCAAAGGATTGTTTTGATAGTTAGAAAATGATTCAGGTGTCAAAGAAGCATGTTGCTTAAGTTTACTTCCAACCTTTCAAAATAGAACTGATTCATCTGACTTTTGCTTGTACTGTTGAATCTCTGTCCAGTCTACTGTTTGGGGGGAAACACGCTGGGATAAATTCGAGTAATTTCTGAGCTAATTTCTTCCAGTCAGTGTGACAATGAAAGTGGTTCAAATCCATTAAGGGATCTTTCCATCATGGTTTCTTTATTCATTCCCTTTCTTTGCTTTCCGAAACTAACAGGTATATTAATTGATATAGATCTGAAAACCTAGGCTGGCAGGTCCAGATGGTTAATTCAGATTCCTTAGCAAATCCCAGTGGATCCTGACACAGATCAGGAAATTCCTTGGCTAAAGCTCTAAGTTCTGCTTTGGTCCAGGGTGTGTTCATAAGCACTGATGACAATTCACCTCTCCCTGTAATAGGTTTCTCCTTAAATGGAGCTATAATCACTGGTGATTTTTTCTCCTTTACTGGGGAGCGGGGAGCAGCAGGAAGCAGGAGAGTTGGAAGAGAGAAAGAAATAGCACCTGGGCCATGCAATTCAGATAGAAGAGGATGTGAGTGAAGAGCAGAGGGAGAGACCCAGTCAGAAACAGTGCTAACAGCC